CAATAATGTCAAAGAAATTAGAGTTATTCATACCATAATGTCAAATTAGATATCTAATGTAAAAAGGTAATTGTCAATTATAAATGTCCCACAAACAATGTCAAATAAATTAAGTTAATCATTGACCATAAGAACCATGGACCATTTTGCTACTGCAAGTTTACTTAAAAATTTATTAAAATGTACTTTAAAACATACCGTTTACTTGTCTACGTGAATATTTTGAATCTAAGAACATAAAAATTACATAAATCATACCTATAGGGTTGTCGTTCATAATGTTTATCAGGTGAAGGTACAAAATGGTACCTCGGTTTTATATGAATAGCAAGCCAAGAAAGCAAGTCTGATAACCTCTCTTTTTCTATGTCTATCTGAAAAAACAAAAACATTGTTAAATAGAAGAAAGAAATGTTTCACAAGGAACTTTGAAAATGAACCAATAAGACAATCAATGAACATGTTCCACCATATGTGATTAAATTTCCATTAGTCTAACTGGCAGATAATTTGGGATAATATGGTCAAGAGGTCTTGGGTTTGATTGTCAATGTGAAAGTGTTACTGGGTTTTTTTTAAAAAAATCGGTAGTAGCACGGATTCTGGATTTGTGCCCGGTATATAGCAATAGGCTCACCCCCTATTACAAAAACATAAATAGTGAAAAGTGGGTGTTACATTGTACAGTGGCATTAAGTGCCGTAAAGTGCACCTCTGGGGGATAAAAGGGGATAGAAGGCGTGATGTTATGTTACATAATGTTTCTTATTATACCAATATAAAATATTTTGTACCTTATGCTACTAAAAACTTAACTAGCAGTGGTATAACTAGACCTACTTGTAACAAATGAATTTGAACTTACCTTCTGTGTTTCATCCTGTTGTATCCCTGCAGGCCAAAGGCTAGTAATTAACATATCTACCCCTCTGAATTCACTCTGTCCTCTGAAACATGCATCCCTCACTGCACTGCAGTCACTCGGTTCAAATGTGCACATTGGAATCTCTTTGCCAAGTTCTCTCCGAGATAATCCAGTCAAATACGCTATTTTCACATCTCCACTTGTTGTAAATATTCCTCTTTTTCCTAAAACCCAACAAAATCAAATGTAAATGAAGATCTCGATTATGCCACGTAATTCATTTTTTATTTTATAAGGATATTTACCCATATAAATCACATTTGGCACTATTTCAGATCCTTCTTCACAGTACAGGGGCACATGTTCTGGTTTGGATGGTCCAAAAACATATGTTGTTACTGGAACTGCAAAACAAATAGAAATTATTAATAACATGTTTTTGCAAAAGAATCTACTTTATGGACGCCTTTAAATCACTTGTTTAACTTGTCGAGTACCGGTTTTGTAGACACAATTATAGAACAATAGGTTGTGGTCACCGGTGACCGCTTGGTGTTTGACAGTTTAACAACTAAATTAGTACTGATTGGTACATCTCTTCCTTACTGGGTCTCGTAACATATCAATCCAAAAGTGTATTGTTTTTTAGATAAACAACAAAAAGTCTTCATGGTATTTTTGAAAAATCAACACAAGTCTTTATGGTGATTTTGAGATAGGATGTTAATGTGATATAGAGTATCTATTTTTTTCTTTTCACTGTGCAGATAACATCTCGTAACTAAGTTTATCTAATTAAAATAATAACAAGTAATTGATTTACCTTTACGAGTTCCCATTTTATACGCATCCAGTTCCGAGTTATCATCTCCAAAAAAATTTCCCACGCACAGTAGAACATCAAATTGTCCAGATTTCTTGACGATTGACTCCACACGTGAAAACAAAGCTTTAAAGTTTCCATTTACATCGCCGCATATCAACCTGGAATCAAAGAATTTGGTTTATTACAAAACTTTTAAATCACTACAAAATTTATATTTTGTGATTTATTTGTTGATTAGCTCCTTCCGCGCGATTTCACCCGCTCGATTCGGTCGTAGAGTGATGGTTTATAGACTACAGGCCTCGATGCACTATCCAATATAAAAAGAATTATTCAAATAGGACCAGTAGTTCCGAAGATTAGCGCCTTCAAACAAACAAACTCTTCAGCTTTACAAAATGAAATGTAAGATATAAGATAAAAGAAATTTTGTCTTGCAGTTTTAATGAATTTATAGCAAGATTAAATAACGGTTCTTACGTTTTTTGTTTATCCATCTTTAACCAATAAATTATTGATTATAACGTTTCAAATGGTTTGTTTTGCTTCCTTATTTTGAGGTTATAATATAGCTAAATGACAGACAGTAGACAAACAGTCAAATTGACAATTGCAACTGGTTCAACAACACACTGAGACAGCAGTGAAACCATAGTGAAACAGTGAGAGAGTGCTGTGTTCAGTTTGGTGAGCAGTCACTACTTTCTTTTAGTATCTCTCTTTTAAGTCTCTATGGTCAACACTGCGCACACGAAAGACTTGTATTGAATGTACTTAAGTACATACATATTGTAATGTCAAAGAATATTTAAAGTATAGGGGACTCAAAGGATAATGTAATGTCGACCACAGGTTTTCAGTCATTACAGCACAAGGACGTTACAGCAATACATGTTTAGGCAGTGGCGCCAACTGGTGAAAAAAAAGCGAAAGGTCCTGCTATAAGAAGAGCTGCGAACAATTCAGGAAATGTATCCGGACGGTTAATGCAGAAATAAAATAACGATGACGTTGTGTTGCGTGGAAAAGAGCGCTAAAATTTGTTTTTTTTATACATTAATTGTCTATGATTATTGATAGAAACCTTTGTATGTCATTTCATTTCTTCCAATATTTATAATAATAATCTACTTTAATATTACGATTATGACGACGTTTTTACTATCCGTTTTATTCGCATATTTTATAAGGCTCAAAAGACATGATTTCAAAATGTCTGTACACATTAACACCATAGACAATAAAAAAAAATATCGGAAAACGTCACGATAACTGTTTAATAAACAATGCTTGTTTCCTTAAAAAAATATATTATTTTACCTTGTTAAGTGCATAATATTCAAATAAACTATGGCTTCGTCTAGTAAACTGCCCGGCACAGGTTTGGAAGAAGTTGGAGTGCCAGGTCAGTCGTATCTTCGTGATGCATTAACAAGTTGTACAGATCCCTTGAAAGCTATAGAAGAGTTTCAGTTGGAAAATGGTATTTTATTACCGTCATTGCGGCCTATGCTGCCTTTGCTTGATCTTCATGGAGTGCGTCGGCTTGATTTTCATACATCTGTCCTGGAAGAACTGAGAGATAAACTAATAGCTCATATCAACGAACTTGGTTCCAAAGATGGTAAAGAACATGATAAGAAACTCAAAGAATTACTCACGAAGAGCTTTCCCGTTGTCAGAGTAAAGGCTCTGAGGCCTGTTATTATGAGTATACTAAAGAACACTCCACATATTGATGACAAATTTCTAAGAGTTCTCGTCAGAGATCGTGAATTATATAATGACACGGACACAGAAGTAAAACGACAGATCTGGCAAGATAATCAATCTCTGTTTGGTGACGAAGTATCACCACTGCTCAGTCAATATATCAGGGAAAAAGAGAATGTATTGTTTGATCATGAGAACCTCACTAACCTATTTTTTTCACCGTCTCCTAAGGTTAGAAGGCAAGGCGCTGTTGTCCAAAAACTGGCGCACATGATTGGCAACAGTGTAAAATTATATGATATGGTATTACAGTTTCTTCGTACACTGTTCCTAAGAACAAGAAATGTTCATTATTGTACTCTACGGGCTGAGCTGCTGATGGCATTGCATGACTTAGAAATACAGGATATTATATCTGTAGATCCTTGTCACAAATTCACTTGGTGCCTAGATGCATGTATTAGAGAAAGAAATGTAGACATAAAGAGGTCAAGAGAACTGCAAGGATTCTTGGACAGTATCAAACGGGGACAGGAACAAGTTTTGGGTGACTTGTCTATGACACTATGTGATCCTTATGCTATTAATTTCTTGGCAACCTCTGCAATCAAAATATTACAACATTTAATAAATACTGAAGCGCTACCTAGAGATAACACAATATTGATTCTCTTACTAAGAATGTTAGCACTAGGCTTGAGTGCTTGGGTTATGATTGATTCTCAAGAATTTAAAGAGCCTAAGCTTGACAGTCAAGTGGTCACTAAATATTTACCTGCACTAATGTCACTTATGGTGGATGATCAAGTCAGAGCATTGCATAATAAATTGCCCCCAGATGAGAGAGAGTCTGCTATCACCACTATTGAACATTCAGGCCCACCACCAGATGCTTGTGAGGCATACATGAGAGAAAACTCTGTATGTGGTGTTCTAGCAATGTATTACACATTACATGCAGCTAAACTGCGAGATAGGGGAGCATTACTACGTATTCTTAGTATCCTCGGTAGTTGCAAAGATGGAAGAGCTTATGAAGATCCATTCTTACATGCTCTTGTGGCACTATTAGTACAATTGCCTGATGAATTCCAAGGCGAAGACTTCAGTACTGTATTATTTGATGAATTCTTTTTTGCAGGGTTATCTAAAGATAATGTCACTAGACATTTACTCAAATTACTTTGGTACATCCATCCTAAACTACCTGAAACAAGAATTCAGACTCTAATGAAAGCTCTCCAGCCAGGCACTCAACACAATGAGTCTGTTCATAAACTATATGAGACTTTGCAGCAAAAGATGACTACTCAGTCAGAGCCAGTTCCTAGCACAAGTGAAATGGAATATTTAGACTCTCCTCTAATGAGTGTACCAACTCCAGCACCCTATCACATGTAGATGATGACTTATTGATAAGTTTTACTATAGCCTGTTGCTATATGAATTGATAAATAAACCATATTTGAGTATTATTATAACTGTTTAATTTTAACATGTCATAAGGAATAATTAAATGAGAACAATCACTGTAAAATATTTATTAGTAGCAACTTACAGTAAGTTTCAAATTAATACAAATAAAAATGTTAAAACAAAATATTGTACTTTAATAATCGCAGATTATTTTGGACGGAATAAGTCTGAGCATTTATGGCATTTTTATGTCGAAATCGAGATACACTTTGAAAAAAGTTTCATCATTAATTTTTGAGTTAGATATTATTTTATTTGTAAAAAATATGTGTTAGAATATTTGCGTTGACTTGTCGAAGTTACGCGCGGTGGTCACGTCTGTCGGGTTTCATGTCCAATGAATGAAGGGAGCGTAGAGACCGGGAGCGCTCGAACAAGGACGGGTCGGTGTAGATAGGCTCGCTACCATCGTCAAAGGCACTGGCTAAACGTCCCGAGGAACCAGCTTCATCACCCACCTCCGCAAATGTTCTTCCCAATCCACTGAAATGTAATTATTGCAGTTATGTTAGTTTAATTTACTTTTGAATTTAATTAACCATTTAATTTTAATTATCTGCATAAAAATCAAATAATGATGATCGACGACTATTCTGTCAAAATAAATCAGAACTACCTTCCTATTCATATTATCAATAACTTTGTAGATTTTTTTTTGTAATTGATTTATAATTGCTGCTATAGTTTTATTATCTTGCACAATAATGAAATATTACCAGTCTCGACAAGTATACCTAATAAATAAATGTAAATAGACCTTGAATTCACAAAATACTAAATTAGTATCTGAAGGTCTATGTTAAAATATTTGTCTACCTACAAATTGCAGTCAATATTTAGTCAGGCTCCAACCCAAGGTTCTAAAATATCCAGCCGGCTATAACAGAATATTGGTGCTCAGATTCTAGGCACCAATATTCTTCTACATGCTGCTTTTAATATAACTGGCATGCATTACCACTTAATATGAGTCTCTAAGGTGGAAAAACTAAGATAGGTAATTTAGGTAACTGTTAGTGCAACTCGATAATTATGCTTAAGTAGGTACTTCCTAAAAAGTAAGTAAAAATTGAAAGGGGATTGTCTCCATAACTTACCTCAATGAGAATGGTTTATGCAGATGCGACGCGGAGAAGAGCGACGGTCTTGTAGGCCTAGGCCCCGGGGTCACTGGCCGCAGCGCCGGCGCAGGTGACGACGCTTGAATGTTCTTGCGCAGCACTCGCCAATAACGTCTAAACAAGGAAATAATTATTAAGCTAATTAGACCTAATATTAACATTATTATTTATTTATTATTTTTACACCATTTAAATAGATAAACTAGAAATAAGTACAAGTGTACTTAGTAAAAACGAATTGATTAAGTAGGTATTTTTATTTATAGTTATTTGTTATAGAATTCAATCTACCTTCGTTAAATTTGGATTTTTTATCTAGTTAGGGCCACATAAGTGGGTGGTTATTAACCAAACACAATTTGTAGTATCTACCTGCTAAAACAGAAGTGGCTGCAACATTCAGTAATAGTATATTTACCTATGTAAACATGTATTATGTTATGTAGGTAAGTACCTGCCTACAAGCACACTGCAAAGTGACATCACGCCTGCAACACGTGTTCTTTGCGTGTGAACGACTCAAATATACCAATGCAGCTAAATATAAACGTCGGCATTAAAACTATGCGTCAGCTTAACGTCACATTGCACTTCATTAGATGCGAAGAAAAAACGCATAAAACCAAGAACTGTGTGTAACAGAAGATTCATAATTAAGTAGGTATTAAAGCAGTGAAGCTAGACTGATGTCAGGTCAGGGTTAAACATCGTAGTATGTATATGGTAATTTAGTTATACGCCTATTGATACTCGATTAGATAATTTTATTTAATATATGTATGTGTGAAGTAATAAAATAAATATTTTTTAACTACATAGGTACTAGGTAATGTTTTAGCTTTTGCTGTAAAATTACGCACGTGTTTATGAATAATTAAATAATAATAATACCTAGGTACTAGGTTTAAGTGGGTTCTTAAGTGTTTGCTAACTTCTGAGAAAGGCATAAATACTTAAATTGTTTCGTGCAGGAATCGAAACCGCTTGATACCTACATTGCTCAGTCGTCGATCGTTCAATCATTGCTGTAACCATGCAGTTTAAATTCTTACCAGCATAAATCAGTGATGATTACATCACAACCATATATTTCACTATTTTTATTGATGTAATCGTAGGTCTATTACCTAGTAGGTTCATTTCTCTCTACATAAGTAGGTACTTACATTAATAAAATGTTCTACACTTGCCTGCCTGCCCTATCTCTTCGTTTTACCTTTAATTACGTACCTATAGATATAAAGAGCAGCGGTGAGCATAGCCAGTAGTAAAGACAGCAACACACAGAGGGCCACTAGTAAAGCCCTGTAGTGATACGGCGGGACACAGATACCGGCAGCTGCTACTACGGGGGAAGAGTCACTTTCTCCATTTTCTTCTAGTAACTCGTTGCGGTTGTCAAATACCTAGAAAAAAGAGGTTATATTGAATAGGTGTATAGTATAGATGTATAGTATAGGTGATAGAAAACCTGGATATCCTACTAACTCCTACGTAGGTACCAACTTGTGCCTCTGTTTGGTAGGTATCTAATATTTTTTTAAACGTTACCCCGCTCTAGGATTGTATCCTGTGGCGTGGGTGCGTTTACAAACATACAAGTTCACATACACGATACCCAGACAATTTGTGGAACACACAACGAGTTGCTCCGTGCGGGAATTGAACCCGCGACACGTTGTGAGTCAGCCGGTTGCCCAGCCACCGCACCAACCGTGCCGTCAAAATTAAATTATAAGACAATGTACCAAAGTTGAAGGATGCATACCCTAATGACTGCTCCCGCCCGGGTGAGGCGGGAGGGAGCCAGACTCTTACTGACTAAAAACCACCCCGTTCCTTCTCCTACATTTCAAGCCGAAACCCCGGCAACCCGTTAGGTTCTGCGCGACTTATACCTAGGTACTTAGATATTTAATCATATAGATACCTCGTCGAGATATCTAGATGGCTAGATATTATACTTAATACCCACCTCTGTTTACTTAAATAAGGCTCATGCTTTTTGTGCCTAAAATAAGTTATAATTATAGTTCTTATACCTCGTATGTTTTTGTCACAGAGCACACTGTGATCAGATGATCATCATATAGATATCATAGTGATTATTATTTACTTCAAATTCGAGGAAAAATGGAGAGGATACAAAGGTCAATGACACGACCACTTGACACTTAACATTGCTATAATATTACGCATTGTGATTAAGCCCCCTCAGTGAGACAATATCTCTATATCAAGTGTAGATAAAAGGTCGTTACTATTAGCTGTTGAAACAAGAGATAAAGCTGATAATTACATAGGTACTTAAAATCTGACAATGAAAAGGTTTTTGCCCAAATATTATATATTTACTCAGGTACTAAGAAACTGCTAGGCTATCCTATAATGAAGTTTCGAAGTTTCGAAGTGAGCTCGATCGCATTCTCGGCCGTCATTGGTCGAGATTCTCACAATCAATGACATGGCGGACAGCGGTCTAGTTCACTTCGATGTTTCTACAGAATAGTCTCACAGCTCGTATGTAGTAGATATAACTAGGTATCAGACACATCAGTAATTACTTTTTAACATAAGTTAGTATTAGCTAATAATTCACTACTAATACAATCTTTAGACTAGAAGTAGTAGCGTAAAGAACTATATTGTTCGGGGCCCGTGGTAAATTTATTGGATGAGCCCCTCTTCCCAATATAAAAGAGAATAATTCAGTTGAGAATCTGTGATTACTAAGGTCCCCTCTGCTCGGGGCCTGAGGCATTTTACGCCACTAGGATTTTCGAACAAAATTAATAAAACATATGCTCTGGAGTCCTGAAACCATTATTGATGAAAGTAGGTACCTAATACATATAATATATTTCCAGTATCTATCCAAAGTTCATTAACAAAGTCCTTACCTCAATCATTTTCCTCACATGACTAGGGGTCTCGACCTCATCCTTAAGATATTTATCGACTTTAGCCTCTTCATACGACACTTTGTAGACAGTGCCTGCGTTTTTATCATCTTGTTTGTCCGTCTTTGTGTCATTATTGTCTGTAGTCTTCACTTCGGCAGTGTCATTGGCATCCACTCCAAGTGTCGAGTTCACGTCCCTTCGACGCCTTCCAAATGATGGCTCCGATCGTCCTGTGTGACTTGGACAATATGCCTGAAAATTAAAGTATTTTTATCTTTATTTATTTACACTTTATGTAGGAAAACTACACATCGGTGAAAATTATGGCTTATTTGATTGTAAAAAATATTGACATATTCTTACGCAACAATAGTTTTAAAATGGTAGGTAATCAACTTGCTTTCATCCGTCTCTCAATATAAGGCGACAATTAAAATGCAGTTTATTTTATTTCGAGTAGATAAGCTAATGTGCGTATATTTTTAATCAACAATAAGATTCGTTCTTTGTTTAAACCACGTTTAATTTTCTCATTAGCAAGAATCTGTTGATTGATTTTCTTATGACTTAAATCACTGCGTTGCTCAATCTACTCTTAGGTAAGCAAGTAGCTATAGTAACTTGAATATTAACTAATAACAAACCATAGTTGTGTCTTCAAAGTTATCGTTACATAACCTGGATAATACTTCTAATGAAAACCAAACGATAATATCATCTGTTATTCACGTGGTACAACTAGATAAGCAAACAGCGTCAAGAGATCTTATAGAAGATGCTAAATTGCATAAACAGCATCTATTTTATGCATAACAAGACACCGTTATCATGTCGCGATAACCCGAGAACTGGATGTAGCTCGATAATTGTGTATTCTTATAAGCATTGACGTAATTGAAATCGTATGAGTTGTTTATTAGATAAAGAAGTTGAAAAATAAGAAAAACATGTATGGACAATAGGGTCGATAGGCTACTTTACTAATATTTTGTCTAGTTTATGAAAGACCCAGTATTTCCTTCTCATAGTTAAGTTATCTTCTATTATAATTAAACTTAAAAATCAAAGCAACCTTAGCACTGAGTACCTACCTAACACTTATTTGGCTATATTCTAAGGATTAACTTTAAAGTTAAACTACACGCGTCGTAGGTAATCCGCCAGTAGACGATCTTTTATCTTCTTATTTTTGTATCGATAGTGCTACCAGATGATAAAAACAGAACGCTTAAAATCTCTAACTCATTTTCTAAACATTCCCAATCACTACTTACTACATACTACTACATAACTTACTTCATTTTGACACCTAGATTACTACCAGGAAAACATTGATCGTTTATAATATGAGCTCCTGATATTTTGTACTGATAACTCATTTTATTTTTGGGTTTGTAGATGAGTCTTATAAACAGCCACCTAAATTGGATAAGTAAGGTGACGTCCGTAGTTTCTATTTAAAGGTACCCGTAATGCCCTTTATTGAAATAAATTGTTCCAATAAAGAGTTGTTAAATCGCTCCATGTCCTATTGAGACGCAGTAGGTGATACATATTGATAATGGTTTTCATATTGACAGTTGTTTTAATAATGTCGGTATCTACATGACGTCTCTGTTCTCCATTGAATATACTGTTTAATTCCCTGTTATCAATCTTGTTCTGATGATTACATATAGTCGCATCTAGGTACATATGTATGTGTCTTTTTTGTATCACAGTAGTCGTATATTATATACTCTCCCTAATTACCTTTTTATTCTAAGAAACTAAAACAATTGCAGCCACTTTTTAATCCAGAATTTAGGTCACTATCTCTTAAAACTAAACAATATTAAATGCACTGACCGGCTGACATCCATCGCGGCACGTACGAACTGTGGCTTCAAACACTAAGAAGTTTGATTCTGGGATCTTGAAAGCGTTGAACCTTGCTTCCAAAGAATCACCGTTGCGACCTTTGTCCAATTCTGGGAATACGTCAGGATCGACAGGGCATCTGGAATGGGATATGAAATTATTTAGAATCTGTTAACTTTTTAATGGTGTAATTTTGGAACACACGTCTGAAGTGGATAGCTATGGTAACATTAGATAGGAGATGCACAAGTTTTAAAAATCTTTAGTCTACGGTATAAATGGGATCTACGAATTAGAAAGACAAACTTACCCAACGCGATCAATTAGCTGCACCGATCGTCCAGAATAAGGATCTCTAGCGATGACATTTGTGGCGAAAATATCTGTTGCATAGTTGTATCCGTCCTGAGCTTCCAATCTGAACGTCAGTGGATCTCCAACGGCAATAGTGGTCGTTGGTCTGCCTTGGTACAGGATCATAAGACGGACTTTGGAGTTCAAAGAGCTCTCTTCAGGAAGATATTCGATGGGAATGGGACTGCCCGACCTGTCGACCAAATCATACCCAAGACTACGGTTAGATTCGAAGAGATGCTTCCTAAAGCGGCAAACTGACTTTGAATGAATTTGCCAGGGAAAAGTTTGAATATGAAAATAAAGTAATACAGGTTATTAACAGATTCATTCAAAGTCCCCCGTTAGTAGCTGTTAGTGATAACAGCACTCAAAACCAACATTCAACTAACTAAATAAACCATCCTGTTAATTTCTACATTCCAAAATTTCCAGAAACTGATAACATACAGGAAAATCTGGCAAAAACAAACAGCAGCGCTTTGAAAAACCCGTTAGCTAATATATAATGATTCTACAAAAACTTTCCCAAAATACACCAAAAAACAAAAACAAAATGGTTTCAGCGAAAACTATGTTTAGGAAACACCTATAATAAACAATAATGTAAACAAATGCAAACGTAAAGGAAATCTTCAGAAGCGAACTCATGAAAACACGCAACACTTGTTATAATGTTAATATTCAAAATTTGTGTCTACGTGATAAAAAAATATTCCAAAATAGTTTAGTTATTTGGAAGAGCTAATTCGCTAAAGATGTTAATGAAAAAAATGTTCCATAAAGATTGGTTAAACAATAGTATTTATCAGATAGACACAAATTGATGATCGATGACATAGTTCTCACCCGGCGCCGATGTAATTGGACGTGACTACTGCCTCGGCTGGGCCTCGAAACAGACAAGTCAAGTTGAACCGTTTGTCTCGCGAAGTTTGCACGTTGTCACTGAATTGGACCACTACGATGTTCGTCATTGTATCTCCGTACTGAAAAATAATATTTATTCTCCAAAAGATAAAGTTTATAGTTTCCAACTTAAATGTTATATTTTTGGTTAAAAAAGCTACTAACCCTCTGTGTTCCACATTCAGGATACCCATGAGCTCCAGTGATACGCAAAACGTTTACTACTCCGCCATTTCCGCGGAAGAAACACCGATCATAGAAGCCATAAGTATACATTCGACCATAGAATCCTTCAGGAAGTCGCAGAGTGAACTCCATTCCATCTTCGTTGCAGACTTGGGATACTAAGAAACAGGATTTATGGCAATTAATATGATTGCTTAGACAAAAGAAATTCCCAAACAATAAATCTATAAAGAACAGCAACAACTATTTTTGTATCTCACCATCCAAGCAATCATCAGCCATCCTGCCAAGTGCTCGTTCATAAAAATCATATTCATTAGCTGTGTTGTCGAAATGCGCTGGATTAGCAGCGTCAAGTTCCCGAGTATCTCGATCGCTCAGTTCACAATTATCACGAGGTTCCCCAGCATACGCGCCGTCTACACCTCTGTAAACGTTATGTGGGTCAGTAATGTCACTATACCTAGCACAATTGCATCACAGCATGTTTAGTTGTTTAGTATACTTACCGATAGTTGAATGACCGACAGATGAAGTCTCTGGCCTCTATGCATTCTCGTTGGCAATGAGCCAGTGACTGAGCAGTAGTGAATCGTCGAACATATCGTCTTTGCATGCGCTGTCTACCCACTTGTCTAAAACTGTCTTCTTCACACCGCGATCCTTGCCACGGCCTTTGTCCGATTGGTGGTCTACCTATACCATTACCAATAGGACCTCCAATTGGACCTCCAATGGGGCCACCAATAGGGCCACCAACTGGACCATTAATTGGACCATTGATTGGTGGTCCGACAGGTCCAATAGGGCCATCAGGTTCATAAACTGGTCCACTACCATATGATGGTCCACCGCCACCGTACACAGGTCCATCTAAACGGAAAAGAAAACGTAGTAAAGGAATAATATAAATATTTGTATGAACATTCCGTTTTTAAGTTTACATACTTATAGGGCGTTCCACTGGACCAGGTGGAGGATAAGATCCGCGATATCCGTTGGGCCTTTCAATGGGTCTGGGTCTTAAACCAAAACTGGGTCTAGGTTCAACAGGATATCTGGACAAATATATAAAATCAATGTTGTTGTTTCAATACACAAATAAGTAAATCTTTTTGTTTTTTTATTTACCTGTCTGTGCCTGGTCGAATACCTCTGTCAGGGAATCGATCAGGCCCAGCATAATCGGGTCCATAATAGCCCCCACGTCCGTAGCCTGCTACAAAAAATGGCACGTGAAATCACAAACTATATTTATTCCTATAAAACCTAAATCCATAATTTTAAAGGAATCTAGAACAGTGAAGTGCTCACCGGGGTATGATGATCCGGTCGGCGGATATTTGTTATACAAATCTGGGTATCGGTCCCCGCCCAGAGGTACTGGGTCTCTGTTCACCCCAACTGGGTAGCGACTGAACGGGTACCGTCCCCAATCGTTAGTTCCAGGGTATCGGTCCTGATCGAACCTATCAGGATAGCGGCTAGAGCCCCAGCCCGGTCTATTCGGGTATCGGCCACTGCCACGTACAGGGAATCTTTCCGGGTATCTGTCTTGTGGGAACCTTTCAGGATAAACGTCAATAGGGTATCGGCTAATAGGATATCGGTCAACTGGGTATCTTCCTATGTCGTTAGTAGGATAGTCGTAGGGTCGTCCACCGTCAACTGGGTAACGATCACCACCAGGAAGGGGATATCTTCCACTCCCTGAGGGGTATCTATCAACACTTAGCCCAACTCCAGGTGGGTATCTGTCAGCACTAGGAGGATATCGGTCAGCTCCCACTGGATACCTATCAGCACCAATGGGATATCGTTCTGGACCAATTGGGTATCGTTCTGGACCAATTGGGTATCGATCAGGGCCAGATGGATACCGATCAACACCGGAAGGATACCGATCGATGCCGGGTGGATATCTGTCAGCTGGGTATCGGTCTGCGACTCCAGGAGGATATCTGTCAGACGGGTAACGGTCTGATCCGACGCCAGGTGGGTATCGGTCGTCGGGGTAGCGGTCATCAGGCCCAGATGGATATCTGTCGTCTGGGTACCGATCTGGCCGACGGTCGCCATACCGGTCATCATCAGGGTACCGGTCGTCGTCCGGGTAGCGGTCTACGCCTGGCGGGTATCGATCCCGGTCGCCTCCATTACTACCACCTTGAAATAAAAGGACATATTAATACAAGAAGTTCAATATTTATTAAAGTAATAGAATGAATAGAAAACGTCAACCATGCGAACAAAACAAGTCTATTCTACTGCTAACTACTTGCTAACTAAAGTTTGTAAATAGCTAACTACGATTACCTTACAATGACCAGCATGCTGATAACAAACAGATCCTAGAAATAACAAACAACATCTACATAGTAATACCTACTTACAGAGTTTATTTCTCTTCAACTAAACTACTATTTACAGCATTGTTACGACTTACCGTATCACTACAGTTTACAAAAAAAAAGTACATTTCTACAATAATTTCTACGGTCCCAATACAAAGTTCCAGATTCCTTTTTACTTCTACCTACATAGTTTCCTCTAGTGGTTGTTGAATGTTATCAAGAAATTTACAAACAGAAGTTGTTAAAATGATTCATGAATCAACGATACTGGTGTGACTACGTATGAATAAAACTTAATGCCGGTTAACGACTTTTTATTCACAATAACAAGTATAAAGATATCATAATGCCAACACATTTTTAAACAACATAACGGGCCTTAAATCTTCGTTGTAAGTGTTCATATTTTTATCGTTTTTTTTTTCAAGAATGTGACATTTTGTAAAAAAAACCATGTATCTATGACCTATGTAGTTCACTACATCTTTGACATTTCACTGCAAAGAAACAAATTAAGATATTGCATTTGTCGGAGTATGGACTACGTAAATTATTCCATGAACCTTATATTATAGTTAATCAAAGGCACCTCAATCCTTTGTTTAGTTCTAACATTCATCAACCACTAGTACTTCACCCCGATCCTGTCTATCATGCATCGAACCTGTAGAAGTAGCGGGCCGTCCCCCCCAATTGCCCTGTGAACCAGTCCCTGGAGTCCCAGCTTCGTTCTCCCCTCCAACTAGCTGATCTGAATGCCCAAACCATAGTCGTCAATATAAAGGTCCTCCAAAGAGTTAGGTACACGAATAATTTTGTGATAATAGAAAATTATATCGATTACAATTTAGGTGTAAATTAAATTTGTAGTTAGTATTAAAATAGATAGGATTAAAATAATAATATGTTGGGATACGAATGAAAAATGATAAAATCAATAAATTAGTTGTATGTAGTAATCAAATCTTCTAGGTTTTGGCTTAGAGTAAAAGCCGGTTTCTGTAAAATAGGACAAATTAGATACGAGTACATCCTAGTCTTTATACTATGCCCATAAAGTTACACTATAAAATTATTTCCGCGTTTCACAATATTTCTATTTTGCACAATGATGCGAAAATAGCTTTTTATATCTATGTCATTGAGTGAAGTCGATTGTATTTCATTTGCCGACTTTCATTATTATTTCCTTTGTTCGCAGATATAAATAGAGAGTTATTTATAGAATTAAAAATATAGTCTGCTTTGAAATCCACACCAATAATAAAGCAGATAAGTATGATATTCATGAACACAGAAGGGTCAGTGTCGGGTTATTCTCAACGTGATTCGTTGCATCAATTGAGTGGTTGTTAAGGATGTCAAGAGAAGTCTACAAAAAGAAAACAACATCGTATTGTTGTTTTTATCAAAGAATTTGTAAATAATAAGTAAGCTTTACTTTATCGTATTTTGGCATTAAGTGCATAACTCGAAATAATGTTTAAGATAATTGAACTATAAAAATAATGCAGGTTATTATTTACGATAATGTCATAGCTATTGACATGGTGTGATGTGTGAATGATATAGAACGAAATTTACGACAAAAACATACGTATTTCGACTTAAATAAAACCAACTGTTCTACTGTTACGACTATTTATTCAAGTTGTAAGATTTTCTTCATAAAGATAACTGAACTCTTACAACCAATTGCATTTACGGAAAAATTAAGAGCTTCCGCTATTGGTGGTCGTAATTATTCCATACAGATAAAAGAACTGTTTAGTGTCAAACTTTAATCTAAGCAGCCCTACCAAGTCCTAATAATAAGTACTACGTCGTGTTCAGCTCTATTAATCCCAATTCATACTGATACGTTTATTGGCTTCTTCCTTCCACTCCTCCACGGGTGCCGTACGTCATATGCCGTCTAAACATTCCATGTTATTTGCAATTGCAACTGACCTAGATTACCTAGGCTATGCATAATGTTGCTAAGTTTCTAATAAGAAAGGTTTTCTATGCATTTTTTGTTGATTTAAAATTCTGTTAAAACTGACTACTTACATAATTCTTTGTGATTAAAATATTCCACGTAATAACAATGAAAACTGAATCGTTTTTTGGGTAATTCTACAATCAACAATGCAAACACAAGCGATACTCACGCATCAAATTTTCATAATAATCGAAATCGGGATCGTAAAGCAGTCGCATGTTATCCTTCTGATTGTATCTGCTCAGCCGGCATGTCCTGGCGCGGTCGCTGTATACCGCCGACCTGTCGAACAATACCTAATGCTGCTGAATAGCCCCCACGCACGCAATCGTACAACGAACTTGTCACACCTTATCTCCACTACTTGTGACACACAAAACTAAACAGATAATTTACTGATCTGTTTTTCGTTTTCCCCAGAGATTAGGACGATGTTTATAGGTCAGATTTTGTTATGATTAGCTATCATAGCTCTAGCTTTATAGGCATTTATGTTTACAGATAAAGCTGCCATTATTGATGTTTTGACATAGATAGTGAATCCATTCTCAAAATAAGTGCTACTTGTTTATTTTATCTCTTTAAACTCTGCAGCTGAAATGTTAGCAAAATATTGGTTGGAGTTACAAAACGGCCTTTTACGGTTGAGAAGTTATGTAAATATATGGGCGTCAATTGAAAAGAGATGACACGCGCATTTCGAAATCGTGTTCAAACGGCACAGTGACATGTTTCGGTACATTACCTGCACTGGAAGCTGGTCTGCCTCAAACATTCATCTAAACACTCGCTGAGGGAGCGGCCGGTGATCTCTGAGTGGAACTCGCCCGTGATCCGACTGTTCCTGTACCTCTGGAAGGCCGTGTCCGGTCGACGTCCGGGAGAGAACAGGTGTGACGTCACACTGTTGTCCGGGTACTCCGTGCCACGAGCTGTCACCCGATGAGAGACTGATCATAATCGTGAGAAAAACCTTAATGTGGTTTCATGCACAGTTAATTCAGGAATTTCAGAATGTTAATTGCAAGCATTGTACGCTTCAAAAAGCGTAAGGTTAAATATAGATACTACATACAGCTGTTATCTAGAACTAACAGACAATCTTGATAATACTCACGATTGTCCAGGCAAACAAGGTCGTAGAAGTGATGGGTGGGAGATGCGCTAACAGTCACGTCGTCTTTTTGTGAAACAGAGTCTTCCTCGGACAGAACACACTGGCGAGTCATAGCATCATGCTCGATGGATCGACAGAAATATCTAAGAACAGATTTCGCATTCAAATGTCACGATACAATTTATAATAAGTGTAGGTAGATTTGTTATAAAACTATGTATGTCTTACTTCTCAGCTCGCACACACATTGCTTGGCATTCATCAAGAGTCATGTTAGAAAACACATCGGCTTCGAACGGTCCGCCGAGGCGCTTGTTTTCTTCTTTAATGAAAACTGCTAAGCCATCACAACGACGTTCGGCTGAAAAAACATAAAACATCCCGATCTTAGGCCATTGTCATGTCTTACAATATTGTAGTTACAGTGTCTAGAAATCTCAAAATAACTATATCGATCGTATAAGTTAAATTACCATTTAAGCAAGTATTTTCTAAATAATCAGCGTTATGGTCGTCTTCCAACAACTCTGGATGTGTTCTTCGAGTAAATCTACTTAGGGAGCAAGTCCTCAGAGCAGAGTCATAAGTGGCAGATCGGCATACAAAACTAAACTCTCCCAGGCACTTATCTTCACATTCTGTTCGGTTAGTAACCATTATTTCCTTGAGATCTGAAGGAGGAAGTTTGAGTCGCTTTCGAGCATGGCGTTCGAAAACATACCGACGGGACGGGCATTCACGCTCCGGCCGATTCGCTAAAACAAGAAAACAATGAAAATGACAATGACCATTGTGTCCACAGATAACGGTATTGATAAACGTTCCAAAAAACTCACATGTGAGGCATATTTCATTGAAATGGACGCTATTTGGTACAATCATGAGGGTTCCAATGCCTTCAGGAGCGGCCTGTTCCCTTGTGAGATAACAAGTAGACTCCTCATATTCTGGTTCAGGGCTGAATGCAGCTATTCTAGCGCCAGGTTGGAAGTCAATAGAGTTGCAAGTCCTAACCAGGCTGTTTCCAGAACGGTCACGCAGACACAAATCCTGGCATTTCTCCAAGACGCGAAAAGGTGGCGCCGTCTCGCGGACCTATGTTAATGAGTAAATGAATAATGCAAAGTTAATTATGTTCAGACTATGTTTGTCAACAACGCAAACTGGTGCGTTTCGATAAACTACAAATGTAGGTAGCCTTGTGGAATTAAAAACAGATAGCTATAATTTAATTAATCACGTAATCGTGTATTTGACATGGTTCGATGTTTTGACACACTTATTGGCAATGTTGTTGTTGATATTTTTAAACTAATTTTCACCGACGATGATGATATAAAGTTAGTTACTTTCTACTAGACTTACTATACTTGTAGGTACCAATACAACTATGCAGATCCTAAAATAAACTATTCTTCAGCTTCAATTGTCAGTAGTTGAATAATATTCTTATCAATAGGTAATTTACTTACAACATCATCATCAAATCCGTGTAGCTGTTGATTAGGCAGTCTTTCATACATGACTCTTCCCATTCCCTGGTTGCAAGTCGTTTGAGCTGTGAACAGTATCATTTTAATTTTACATACGTTGAAACATTCTTTAATTTAATAACATCACGCCTTTTATCCCCGAAGGGGTAGGCAGAGGTGCACATTACGGCACTTAATGCCACTGTACAATGC